CTGTTTCACACCTCAGTCTTCATCATCAAAATCCTCTATTGCATTATCATCATCCTGAAGCATCTGAGAGGTTCCTTGTGAATCACACTCTTCACCCATGACCAGGCACTTGTTAGCTCCCTGGATTGTATTCCCCCTTGGTTGGGAACTAGCAAGGATGTCGTCATCATTATCACTGTTCATACCACAGTCTTTTTCTTCAAGTGTATCTGTGCTTCCTCTAGAAAAAGATAAAACACAAAATTATTTCATATTTAAAATGGTAAAGTTGGCATCTGAGACAACAGGATTAGAAAACTTCATTCCAAAATTAGTATCAAAACCAAGTAATTTGCACTGCTTGCCACTAGACAGTTAATTCTTGGACATTACCTGAATGATTGCTTGGATTTTCTGAAATTGCTGATAGCTTGCAAAAAGGAAATTTGTCCTAAACACAAGAGAGAGTAGTAATTCAGGTAACTGACAGTGAATGGATCTTAAACAGAATTCAGGTTGGCTTTAAGGTTCCTCACAAGAAGATGGAAGAGGAAAAATGAATGAAGATATAAAATTAATATAAAAAGAGCAACAGCAATAGAGGAACAATATGTACTAAGAATGGTAACTAACCTGGTGTTCTCAGGGGAACATCAGTAATGGCCAAGTATGGAAGAACCTCTGTTTGCAGAACTAGTGATGGACAGTGGTAATCTTAGGAAGTCAACAGGATCATCATTGTTAATTAAGAAGTTGAACCAAAGAAGATATATTGATTCTGGGTAAGAAAGCTTCTACATCTCTTTCCTTGAGTATTTACTCTTCCCCTTATTAAAAATATCCCTTACTAGTCTGTTGACAACTTCCCAATGCCTAGGTTGTTCAGTGGCCACAGAAAAATGATGGAATGGTAAGTCTCACATCTAAAGAGATCTTGTGCAGTGTTCATACCTTCACGCAACTGAAATTAATTCAATTTAACAGTACTACCATAATTACTATGAAAATTATCTTTATCTCAATCTTAATTCTGTGACTGTGAATTGTCACAATTTTAAATCACACCAATCATTGTGGAGTGAGGCATAACTGTGATATTACTAGTATGTTTTTTTAATAAATATTTGTACTGTCCTGAGGTTGTTAAATCACATTAGGTAGCAATATGAACCCTCTATTTGTATCCTGAAATAATTTACCTTCTTGTTGACCTCAAACAACTGTAGTTTATGAAGTGGTCTCCATCCTCTCCCTGGCCCACTGGAGCTTGATGAGGTCCCCCCTGCTCTGCTGTTAAATATTACCCCTCTTGCTGCCAGACATGCGCTGTACTCCTTCATAGAGGACTGAAACTGTGTTATGATGACAATGAACATTTAGCATTCATTTGACAAGATAGCCCCATAACTGCAATGGCCCTTTGCAACTTCAAGGAAGCTACAAATAATCAACTAATAAATGTTTTTCAGGTCATGCTGGGTATCAACAGATGTTAAAAAACTGAGAAAACTTTACCATCCATTCTTTAGTGATGTAGTCTGCTTCGATGAAGTGTTCGCTAACATTCACCTGACAATCAAATTTAGTTTTATGAAGGGAATAATGGAGGTGGTTAAGTTGCCATAAGATAATCGATTAGGGAGGGACATTCAAAAGCAGATTCTCTCGTTCCATAGTGATTGGGTAAACCTACCTAGCTGAGGGTAAATAATTATTTATAATTATACCGTGATATCCGCACAGCATGTGTTGTGACTGACACAAAAATACCCAGCTATCATTAAGAAGTCAGGCTCGTGGACAACTTCTTTTCATTTTTGTCGTTTTTTAATCCACCTCTTTCTTTAAGGTTCACAGGGCCCTGACTGTAAGCTGTTTGATTAGCACTCTGGTAGGTTTTGTAATGGTTTTTGTTCACGTCGATGGCTGTTCTGAAGGTAAGGAAACAACTGTGGAGTTGCCAACCTCTGGAGACCTCAAATCTAGAGACCAGCACATTCCCCACCGAATTCGCCGATTTGACCCCCCGGAAAATTTCCATTTTGATTTGGACCTCATACCCTCCCCCTCCCCTCCATGATTGAGATTCAGACTTTGGACCGTCGCCAGAGTAACAGTGAACACGCCGAGCAATTCGCGGGTAAAAACGTAGATCTATTCTGTCAAGAACTTCAATTTGTTGAATACTGTATTGATCTCTCGTTTTTATAAAAGTAACAAAGAAGAAACTTTCTTCTTTTTCGCTCTCTACTGCGAGGATCGTGCATCATACGTATCTCTTCTTTTTATTTGCAACGAACAATGCTAGACAATGAAGCCAGAAACCGTGAATACAAGCATAAGAAGCCAGAATAATAATAATTATAATAATAACACCTTTACTTAGACACGATAATGTTTAACTCTAAATTAAATAAATTCAAATGATGAGGGTTTTTGAGGAGAGGGAAAAACCGGAGTACCCGGAGAAAAACCTCTCGGAGCAGAGTAGAGAACCAACAAACTCATTCCACATATGACGCCGGGTCCGGGAATCGAACCCGGGACACATTGGTGGAAGGCGAGCGCTCTCACCACTACACCAACCCTGCTCCCTTTCTATCTATATATTCCAAAATTCCAAAATCATCATTACTTTGTAGCCTATTCTCGTCGTAGTCAAGGGAGTTATATAGTTATAGGTTATGCGGGCGGCGAAATGTTTTGATAGGCTTGGAACTATTAGCCAGGCTAAGCTAATCACTCTCTGTCCGATACCTCCCTCGTATGTTCGCTCTACGAAATTATCACGCTCTTTAACCAACTGAATACCAGGAACAAGCTAGTTAGGTTAATTTCCTTATTAAACTTTTCGCGATAATTAGTTTCTTTTTTCCTTTTACGAGGCCAAGAGATTACAAGCTCTTGGCCAAGCTTATAAATAGTTCAAGATGTCTTGTATTATTTTGTATTATGTCTAATTATTTTGGTACATTAGCCAATGTTTTTTTGTATACACTATTGCGTATAAATTTACAACTTTCTCTCGATCTCAAGGCGGGTTCGTTGCAGCCCTGTGGGTTGAGGAAACCCGCGGTCCCAGTCAGGGCGCAGATCCTTTCTCCGGGAACTTGCTGCTTTCCTACTATTTTTTTTCTTTCACCATTTTATACCCAGATTTTACATGACTCTAAAATGTCTTTGTATATCGGTGTTTTTATACTGGCATATTAAACAACGTCTTTTATCCAATTATTGGCAAATGTTCTATTTACCCAAACCCCTAAATTTAAGACAAGCATGGGATCGCCACTGAGATTGAACGTTATCAAAAAGTCAAAGCCCTTTTCGAACAAAATGATTTCGAAGTTGATCTTTGCAGTGTATAGCCCACCAGTTAGATATAAAATTGAAATTTACTGTCCATTTCAGGTAAGTTCCCCGCACTTGTGTTGGTTGAGTGTTGTACCGCGATATCTCGGTCCCAGCTATTTTTTAATTTTTTACTTTATTTTTTACCCTTTTTTTACAAGATTTCTCTTTTATATCATATACAAAGCTTATGAGTCTTGGATGTCTTTTTATATTGGTATTTTTATTATGGTACTTTAGCGAACTTTTTTTATCCACATATTAGCCAGTTTACTCATTTCCCACACATTTAAATTTACGACAAGAATAGGGACACCACTGAACATTATCAAACTGCAAATGGCAGCGGTATCGTAATCTCATCTTGTTAAGAGTCAAAATAACTTTATGTCTAATGTCTTTTCTTTTGATCATTACAGTATGTATTCAACTTGTTACATATAAACTTGAAATTTCTTCTCGACTTCAAGGCCAGTTTCCTAAGTAAAATAATGTCAGCCAAAGACGTCTCTATATAGATCCTAAAAACATAATGTAGCTC